TCTCTCTCTCTCTTTCTCCCTCTCTTCCTCTTCCACTCTCCCCGACACCCATCCCTGGCGCAGGCAACCAGGGGCTGCTTGCTGAAGGTCGTCCGAACGATTTCAAAGGCGATCACCCATCAAAATGTTCCCTGCATCTAATATCAAACAGAGACGGTGCCAACACTTATTAGAGGAATCCGATTCGGCGGCCCCCCCTCCTCCTCCCTCCCTCCCCCGCTCCCTGCAACCCTTCCCTTCACCCAAACACAACATACAGCTCGGCTTTGAAGTGGAAAAGAATACGAGGATCAGAAATTACTTGGGAGACAGCTCTGCCTACCTTTGAAGCTCTCGCTTTGATACAGCGAGGCCTTCTCCCGGCTCCACACTGGAAGGCACGGAAAGCCATCCTCTGCCGATTGAGATCCGGTAATTAAGGGAGGCAGAGCATTCACACAACCCAGGTGGGTTAACGATCCAGATCCGTCAAGCCCTACCTGGCGCAGGAGATGTGTCGGTCCGGGATTAGGGGCTTGGAATCCCTACCTCTGCATCCCAACAAATTTAATAAATAAAAGGAATAAAATACACCTCGAGCTTGTCCCCCAATAGGCAGGTGTTTAGAACCAGGGCATCGTAGAAGGGGTCGGGAGAAAGCCACAGGGGTGAGGTGGGGTGTCTTGGGATAGTGACCAACTAGGTTTGTCTCAAGGGAGCTGACGTTTGGCATTCCGTTGAAAGGTAAATTAAAGGAAGCACGTGGGAAAGCTTGGGAAAAGTTTGGAAAGGACCGAAGAGAATAGTTGTTACACGGGGTTCTTTCAGAACTGTGGGGTTCTTTCAGCTTCAGGGGGTTGTTTTGAGCAATCACGGTTCTTGCGGACGTTTCGTGACCCAACTAGGTAACATCACCAGTGGTAGAAGGGAGAGGGAGTATGTGAGGGTAGAAGGGAGAGTTTGGGAGGAGGGGGAGAAGGAGAAGGGGAAGAAAAAGAAGGAAAAAAAGAGGAAGAAGAAGAGGTAGAGGAGGAGGAGGAGAAGGAGAAGAGGAGGAGGAGAACTATGGGATCTTACTACTCTTTGCACTTGTTTGTTTTTCTTGCATACATTTCATGACCCAACTAGGTTGCACCATCAGGGGCTAGAAGGGAGTGAGATTTGTTGAGAGGAGTGGGAAGAAGGAGAACTATGGGGTCCTTAGTGCTCTTTGCACTTGGTTTTTTTTGTCTCCTTGCAGATGTTTCATGATCCAACTAAATAACATCATCAGTGCTAGAAGGGAGTGGGATTTGTGGAGAGGAAGAGGAGGAGGAGGAGGAAGGACTGCGTTTCACTGCCAAACTAGGTAACATTAACAGTGTGCTCCTGGCTAGTTTGGTAATGCAATGCCTGCAAAGCCACCAACCCCACTCCTCCCTCTCTCTGTCCTCCATTATCAGACCCCACTCGCTTCTAGCACGGATGATGTTACCTAGCTGGGTCATGAAACGTTTGCAAGAAAACAGCAGGGAGCAAGTCACGCTCACCGGCCCTCAAAAGTCACTCCCCCCTCCCCCTTCTTCACTTGAGATGCAAAAAGCGACACTCACCTTGCCATCGTCCGTGTAGACATTTTCATGGAAACCTTTGACTATCGTCCGGTCAATGAAGAGGCTTCTCATCACGACTATAACTTTTAATACCTTTCCCAAAGTTACCTTCGGGTGAGGAAAGAAGAAGAAAAAGGGAATTGTGACCAATACCAATACAGAGAATGAAGCAGGTTTCCCAAGGCAGGTCATTGTCGACTTACAAAGGGACCAGAGGGAGGTTCGAGGGAAGCCTCTGCAGCCTCGGGAGGGCGAAATACAGGCCCGTTTCGGCACTGATGGTATTTCCGGAAGGCCTGTTCTTCGGCCTCCGGAGGCCGCAGAGGCTTCTCTCAAGCCTCCGGGAGGGCAAAAACAGCCTCAAATGGGCTGAACATCAGCTGGGAGGTGCACATATTCAGGTAAGATGGTCTGGGGCAAACATGCCCGCACAAAGGGCTCTGCATGCCACCTGTGGAACGCATGCCATTGTTTCATCATCGTAGGCCTACTTGATCGAAGACGGGTTTGCTTTCCGAATTCTGGATTTAAAGAGAACGTCCGCCCCGTACACGAAGACCTGCCAAACAATTAGGCACGGTGGGTGTTTGCTTAAGCTTGTAAACACTGGCTTAAATTCCTCACAACAGGTGCGGCAGCACAAAAAGCTTCCAACGTCGCACCAAGGTTGTGTCGACCCCGGGGGAAGAAAAACCCAGCAGCTGTCGTGCTGTCGGAGGAAGCCAGGAGGGGGGATTTGGGAATCAGAGGCAGTTGAACGCGATGATCGTCACGGCCAGATCCAGGAAGCGGCCCAAAGAACGAAGGTGGTGTGATAGCACAATGTGCGTTATGCATTGCAGGCGGTCCATGATGTACGATCGTACAGGTAGTCCTCGGCTGAGGGCCAAATTGAGCCCCGATATTTCTGTTGCTAAGTGAGGTTGCTATTTGGTGAGTTTGGCCCCCATTTTATGACCTTTGTCAGTGTATTGCTGTAGTTGTTAAGTTGGTCACATGGTTTTTAAAGTGATTCCAGCTTCCTCCGGCAATGGGAGGAGGACGAGGAGGAGGAGGAGGAGGAAGAAGAAGAGATGGAGGGAAAGGAGGAGAAGATGCTAATGGAGAGAAAAAAGACAATGGAGAGACAGGCAGAAATGCGGGTGAAGAAGAGAAGATGATAGAAAGAAAGGAGAAGGAGGGGATGGAGAGAAGGTGATGGTGAGAAAGGAGAAGGTGATTCAGGTTCTCTCTTTCCCTCCTCCTCCTCCTTTATCCATTCCCAAAGTGAAGGCAATTTATTACCCGCATAGGAAGATTTAGCCAACTGATTAGCACGATCTCAAAAACTTTTTTTCCTGCAGGAAAAGGACATCCCCGATGTGAAAACCCAGATATTAAAAATGGAAGAGCTGGCATAAATCGCAACTGGCAAGTACCTTTTTTTTTTTAACATCGATATAGGGGGAAAAAAAAGAGAGATGTTTTAGCGGCTCTCTTGCCAAGGAGAGCAATGCTGCTTTGAAGCAGATGCGGGAGATGGCGGGCGGACGCCGCTTTTATCCGACTTCCGTGTCTGACGCCTTCACCAAGGGCTCCATCAAAGAACCCGAGTCCTATCGTGATTAAAAAAAAAAACCCAATCCGTCTCCACTTTCTCCTCCGACAAGAGGAAGGACACGATCACAGCGATTTCTGTTTGTCACGTTTATCGTTTACATTCAGGTTCAAAGACTCAGGTTTCGGGAAATTGGAGGGAGGGACCCAGATTGTTGGGTGCACAATGCTTTGTAAACCACTAAAGAGAGGGCTGTAAAGCACCGTAAAGCGGTATATAAGTCTAAGTGCTTTTCCTTTCCTCTCCCCTCCCTTTCCCTCTCCTTCCATGGTGGTGCAGTGGTTAGAATGCAGCATTGCAGGCTGACTCTGCCCGCTGCCAGCAGTTTGATCCTGACCAGCTCAAGACTGACTCAGCCTTTCATCCTTCCATGGTCGGTAAAACGAGGACCCAGATGGTTGTTGGGGGCAAGAGGCTGACTCTGTAGACTGCTTAGAGAGGGCTGGAAAGCACTGCGAAGCAGTAGGTAAATCTAAGGGCTAAGTGCTAGTGCTATTCTATTGACTGGGCCTTGCTTAAACTGTGTAACACAAGACTTTTTATTTAAAAAATAGCTCAGGAGGCCTCCTCATTACATTTCAGTTATTTCTATCAATACGCTGATAGACAAATACTTGGCTTTTTAATATGTCGCCTGTAGGATATGTTTGAAGGCGACCTTGATGTAGAAAATTTTTAATTCAAATCAATACACCTGCTAGCTCGCTAAAAAAAACCAATTAATATGAATGGGGGAAGGGCAAACACCCCAGGTTTCTTGGAGCCGAAAATGGAACGGCGGCACGTTAAGCCAGCATGCAACCTTTCTTTTATGCTACATTCCTAGCTTGTTTTTAAATGCGCTTGCTGGCCAGATCTAAAGCTCTTTAGAGGACGAAAGGCAACCGCTTCAGTATTATCCTTAAATACTCGCTGATAATAAAAATAAAAATAAAAACAAAAGACAAAAATTGGCATCGTGAAAATTCCCCCAAGGATATGGAATTTGGAAAGAAAAAAGAAAAAAAAAAGATACTTTCTAAGGAAAGTTGCACTGTCATTTGAGTTAATGAGATCAGGATTGCCTGGCCTGAATACTGATAAGTACAATGAAATAAAAGATACAAGCAAGACAGACTGGAGAGGAAAAAAATATCACCCAACTTTTTTTTAGTTTTATACCCCAACATTTAACATTTTAAAAACCAGGTTCTTGTATTTAGACCCGAACCTTGCCCCAAAATGGAAAGAGGTTTGTGATTTTTGCATCCAGCTGATTTAAGCTGGCTCCAAAAACTCATTACCACCACCTCCTTTCGAGACAATTAAATCTAAACATTAATTTCCTTGCAACAAAGAACTGATTTCCACTGCATTTGACCAGCCGCTCCCCAATTTCACTAGGTGGTCTCCAAGTTTTTACATTATCAGCATTTGATTGAATGTGTGCCCTCAAATGGGACTAGAATGATGACCTACAAGGTCCTTCCCAACTCTGTTTCTCTGTTCAGTTCTTAGCGACTATTAGCAACCACCCAGATTTTCTCGGTGACGATCTGCCCTCAACCTGATTCTTTGGGGTCTTCAAAATGTTCCACCCATCCCCGCTCTTAATTCAATTGTTCAATTGTTCAATTATGTGCTATTAAGTCAGGGTTAGCTCTTAGCAACCACATACGTAAACCTGTTCCCAACTTGACACTTCAGGTTCTAATGTTGCATTCTTCACCCCTGTAATTGAGTTCATCCCCCATGCTGTTGGTCATCCACTTCTCCTCTTCCCTTCTTCCTCTTTTTAAAAATAAAACTTAAACTATTTTATATTATGAATCGTTGTCTTGATATTTGTTTCGTCACCAGGACTCTCTAGGTTCGTTATTTAACTGTAAGAGACAAATATGTAGTCATAATAGAATTCTTGAACCTTTACTGTTGCTTTCAATTAATGGGAAAACTAATTTAGCATGTCATTTAAATTCTGTTTAATAAACAAGTCTGGAAAATAGCACGCCTTGTTAATTCCACGTGCTGAATAAGGGTCAGTGGTTTTTCCAATAGCTGAAAGTTGTTGAATTAAAAATATTTGATTAACGGGAGGGCAAATCAATGTAATGCAATTAGTCTGCCTTAAACATTATATTCACAGAAACCTGAAGTGTTACTCAGAAAACATTTTTATTGTAAACAGCTATGAATATTTTAACCAAACTAACATCAGAATCGGAACGGTTTTCCCAGTAATGGAAACCCACCCAATCTGACAAACTTGCAAATTCTCCGAAAATTTGCCCTCTTCCTGGAAAAGAAAAGAAAAGGTCGAATGTTTAAACCGGCCAGCTTCTTCCTGGATTATGAGGTGAGAAAAACCATCTCTGAAACAGAGCATCATATTGCCAAGAGGTCTAAACTTTTGTCGCCATGAGAAACGGAAGCTGGCTGGGCTAAAAACTGAATGCCAGATTTGGGGCAAAGTCATGACTTCATTCCTCAACTGCAAGCAGGATTGGCCCAGGAGAGGAGAAGAGGACTAAAGCTCCATGAAGAATCCCCAATCTTTAGGGCAAGTGACCCTGGGAATAATGGGGTGCCCCCTCCTCATCTCCACAGTTCATATTATTGGTCATAATTGACCCTAATCTTCTCTTGCAAAGCTTTTGCCCCACTTCTGAGACTGAGAATGATGGGATGCTTTTTTCTGGTGGTCATGCTACCCAATATTAACTTGAATTCTGCTTGGATTTTGTGTGTGTGTGCCAACCAAGGTCAACGAAATCCAGTCAAAGAACCAAGACAGGCAAACCATCTTCGTGATGCTGTCCGCGGTGCTGAAAATCCAGCCTACTAATACTTTCCTGTCCAGGTGGTCTACGAATTACACCCGCTTCCTTTAGTGCCTGTTCGAAGTTACCGTGGTGCTGGAAAAAAAAGTGAACTTGTGGCCGGTCCTCGCGCTTATGACCACTGCCGCATCCCCATGGCCCACGTATGATCAAAATTGGCAACCGGCATGTCCTTGGGGCAGTGATGGCATCCTAGAGTCACAGTGGCTGCCATTGGTGGGCTTCCTTGCCGGTTTCCGACCAGCCGGATTTGCTTAAACGACCATGTGGACTCACTGAACAACTTCAGCGATTTGCTTAACGACCATGGCGCAAAAAAAAAAGTTAAATTTTTCGCTCTTACGGCCGTTGCAGCATCCCTGGGGTGTGTGTGCATCACATGATCAAAATTCGTATTTATGACAGTTGCAGCGTCCCCTCTGTGTGTGTGTGTATGTGTGTGTGTGTGTGAATGGGATTCCCCTTTTGTGACCTTCTGACAAGAAGCCAGATTCACTTAAGAAATGTGTTCCCAGCCTAACGATTCATTTAACGGCCGCGGCAAGGAAGGTCATAAGCCGGGGTAAAACTCTCTTAACAGATGTCTTGCTTAGCAACAGGAGTTTTTGGCTCCGTTGTGGTTGTAAGACGAGGAATATCAGCACTGGTTGCCCGGCTCTTGTTGGCTAGAAGTCTCCTCGAAGGTTTAAACTGGCTACCCCCAAAAAGCCAACAGTTTAAATCTTGCAAAAGCATCTGAGCTGCCAATTTTTATTTCCCCTTTCCCCACTTATTTTTGCTATGTCCTTTTAATTGGCTGAAAATCCTACTTGCACAATCAACAGCTGGCACAAAACCAGCCACTTTGTTCCTAGTTATTTTTCTAATCGTTCTCCCTCCTCCTTCCTCAGTCCCTGCTACCAGCCTTACATTTCGCTTTATCAAGCCACCGGTTCTCTTCTAATGACGCCCATTTGTAAACAGCACCGATAAGATGCAATTAAGCCATTAGCGGCTAAACAAACAGGCATGCTAATTAGGCCCTTCTACAAGGGGTTTTTTTCTTCTCCCCCCTCCTTTTTTTTGTTTTTTTTTGGTGGGGGGGAATGGAGAGGCTGGAATTTACCTTTCATTAATTTGGCTTAATTGCCTGCTGGAAAGTCAACATCAATCAAGAGCTCAGAATGATTTCCTTGATATTAAAAAACAGGTGATGAGTTCTCACCCCCTTGGCAATCGGCTGCAGACACTCCAGGCAGGAAGGCAAGCTGGAAAATTTTATTTTAGTTATTTGTATCCCGCCTTTGTTCTTTTTTTTAAAAAGATCAATAACTCACAGAAGCAAACGTATGTCTCCTATTTACCCCTACAACAACCCTGTGAGGTGGGTTGGACTGAGAGAGAGGGACTGGTCCAACGTCATCCGGCTGTCTTTCGTGGCTAAGGCGGGACTAGAACTCACGGTCGCCTGCTTTCTAGTCTGGTGCTTAAGTGCTAGGCCAAATTGGCGCTTTATACCCCCATCAAATAATTTTACAACAACTGTCATAATTCCAGATAGTCCTTGACTTATAACATTTGTTTAGTGACTGTTTAGTGAAGTTACAACACTGAAAAAAGTGACTTACTACCAGGCCTCACACTTATGACCATTGCAGTGGGTTTAGCCCCATTTTATGCCCTTTCTTGCCACAATTGTTAAGTGAATCACTGCAGTTGTTAGGTTAGTTACACAACTGTTCCTTCCTTCCTTCCTTGCTTTCTTCCTTCCTTCCCCATTGACTCTGCATGTCAGAAAGTTGTAAAAGACCATCACGTGACCCTGGACGCTGCACCCGTCATAAATATGAATGAGTTGCCAAGCTTCTGAATTTCGATCAGGTAACCGCAGGGAAGCTGCCATGGCTGGAAGGGTAAAAAAAAAGTCCCTTTTTTTCCAGTGTCAGTGCAACTTCGAATGGGTAACTCAACGAATTGTGCTTTGTATTGTACAATGAGTGGTGATTCAGCAATTTACCAGGAAGGGAAAAGGTTAATAGGCAGCTGGAGAAAAAGTCAGTTTTCAAGTTTGTGGCAGGTTCCAGAATGGACCGAAACTCTCGGAGACGTCGTATTAGAAGACGGGGCAGTTGATGGTCTTTTTGGGGGTGAATTTGGGCTCAAAGTCCCATCGGTTCTGCTGATGTCATTTAAGAAACCCCTTCAAAAACTTTACAGCTCGTCATTTTTAACTCTTGTAAAGTGCAAGTCCCAAATCCTTCCAGTACAAGCTTTGGTGGGGGGGACAAAAATCACATTGCAAATGCTTCTATTTATACAGCCCCAGAGCGAAGGGGCATTGGAAGTCAGGTCACATTTGGTTTAACTTAAGAATTTATACGCTACCCTTCGATAAACAGTATCCTATAAATAAAAGACAAAGCAAAATACATAATTAACTGAGGATGGAATCCAAGGACGAGGGAAGAAGCGGAGCAAAGGGCAGGAGAGAAGCCCAAGCAGAATTTGGAGGGGGAAATGCTTTGGGTTTGCATCTATGGCCGTTTCAAACAGACCTCAACATTTCAAGGTGAATTCGGAGGTCGCGCACGTCTTATAAGGTTTGAGCCCCAGAGTTGAGGGGGCTTGGAGAGGATCGCTTACCAAAACCATCAATTCTTTATTTTTATTATTTTTTTGTAAGCTGCCTAGAGTCACTGAAAATGAAAGGAAGGAAGGAAGGAAGGAAGGAAGGAAGGAAGGAAGGAAGGAAGGAAGGAAGGAAGGAAGGAAGGAAGGAAGGAAGGAAGGGTGAGTTAGTGAGGCAGGGAGAGAGGGAGGGAGAGGAAGAGAGGGGAGGGAGGGAAGAAAAGAAGGAAGGAAGAAAGAAAGAAGAAAGGAGGGAGGCAGGAAGGAAGGAGAAGGGAAGGAAGGAGGGAAGGAAGGGGAGAGGAAGAGAGAGGAGGGAGGAAGGGAAGGAAGGAAGAAATAAATAAATAAGGGAGGGGTGGAGGGAGGGAGGGAGAAAAAGAAAGAAAGAAAGAAAGACCAGAGGAAGTTGGAAGTCAACATCTTTTCTTTCTTTTTTTCCCCTTTTCTCCATACTTTTCCCTTCCCTTTTTCCTCCCTTATTTTCTTTTGTATTTTTATATTTTATATTATAAACTAATAAACAAAAACATGAAAAAAGGGACTGTTTTCCAAGATACCTCTTAATCTGCAAAGAGACGTATGGAAACCAGAATCAATAAAGATGACAAAAGTTATGGCAGATCATTCCTTATCTAAAGGTTACTTCACACTAGAATAGATTTCTACGATATAACTCTTCCCCAAGACACTATTCTGCCAATCGTTTTCTTGAGAAAAAAGAAAGAAATCTGTTCTGTTTTCAAAACTGGTCGCACAGAGAAATCTTTGCATCAATAAGATTTGGGAAATGTGAGAATTAAGTTTTCAGCTTTTTTTAAACATACATTGAAGAGGGGGAAAAATGGAGTTCAAGGCAGTCTAGAGGTCGCCTGCCAGCCCATTGCAAACATTCCAGGAAACTGCCTTGAGTTGAAAATAAATCGGCATTTATAGATATTTTTATTTTACCAAACATTGTTTATTCCTTTCCAAAATTAATCCTCGACTTACAACAATTGGTTTAATGACCGTTCAAAGCTACAAGGGGGCTGAAAAGAGTGACTTACGGCTATTTTTCACACTTACGACAATTACACCATCCCTGTCATTGTGTGATCAAAATTCAGGCGTTTAGCAACCGACTCGTACGTATGACGGTTTGCAGTATCCTGGGATTATGTGATTCCCTTTTGTGACCTTCTGACGAGCAAAGCTGCTGGGAAAGCCAAGTGCATTTTAACAACGGCATTGCTAACTTAACAGCCGCAGGTGTTCACTGAACAACGGCCTCAGGAAAGGTCGTAAAACGGGGTGAAACTCACTTAACTGTCTCGCTTAGCCGCAGAAATTTTGGGCCTCAGTTGTCATCGTAAATCAAGGACTACCTGCATTGTTATTTTTCCATTCTATTGCTGTAAGTCAGCCAGAGTAGCTCCACGGTGAGACGGATGGCAAATAAATTTAACAAATACACAAACAAATAAAATTATTTGTATCTATTAACCAAATGGAACAGAAGTTGTGGGAGCTTCATCCCTGGAAGCTTTCAAGAAGAGACCGGACTGCCATCTGTTCAGAAATGGTGTAAGGTCTCCCCTGATTGGGTGGTGGGTTGGACTAGATGACCTACATGGTCCCTTCCAGCTCTGTCATTCTGTTATTAGTTTAGATAAATACCATATATTATTCTGATGCATTTGCAATGTGCATCAGTAATATAATTTCTCAGCACTGGATAGGGTACCCCACACATTTTGAAGCATATTTTCAATAACACCAGCAGGCTGCTAAGGTTTATAAACAATGGCAGAAGCAACAATAGCGATAACAACAACAGTGGAGTTTTAACTTACCAGCAGCATGGCAGAAGTCCCGTTGGGCCGAGACAGGTGAATAGACATCTCCGGAAACATTCGGTCAATGCGACTGATCACGTCATCTACGTAGCTACAAAAGCAACGCGGACATTAGTCGCCGCAGCGACTCAATGATTTGCAGTACACATAAAAGAAAAAGTTAAACCTAGAATAGAAAGGAAGGTGGAATGGAATGTGGGGTGGGATTGGGATCAGATGGGATGGAATAGGGTGGGTGGAGTGGAGAGGAATGGAATAGAATAAGGAATAGAGTAGAGTAGAGTCGAATAGGAGTAGAGTAGAGTAGAGTAGAATAGAATAAGGAATAGAATAGAATAAGGAATAGCATGGAGTAG